AAAAAAAAAAATAAATATACCGACGAATTGAATACCTCCTTCTTTTGGGAAGTCGGTCAAAAATTAAAGTTTGTCAATTAATAATATTTTTTTCGCAAGCATTTGTTTTAGCTCCGTATTATGTTTTATGTTCGTTAGTTATGATATTTAGCAATTAAATCCGGTATTAAGAAATACCACAACGCATCATCGTAATAAAATCGTGATAAAAACACATCCATTATTTTTTTAGTAAATATTATTGAGCCCTGACTTTAGCGTTATTATAAAGTCAAGGATAACGTGAGCATCATAAAGGAACTTTCCAAACATTACGCATCATTTCAACTTTGTTTATATTTTTTTTTATTTTCAAAGGGACGCTATTCTGACGTCAGATGCCGTCCTTTGCATCACATCCGGTTCCCTGTCATGTTATGGTGCACGAACAAAGTACAATCGTCACCTGTAACGTCATTTGACTCGGTCATGTTGTACACATGCAGTATATTTTTAACTGATGTTGTTTTGTTGCAGTGGCGACTGCGCGTCCCTGAGCGTTGCAGGCAGCAAGCGCTCGGCTTTGTCGGCTTCCGACGCCGAGTGTTTTTCGCTGTGCCTGGGCGCCGGGCCTCTGTGGTAAGTTTATATTACATTCACCTATTATTTTATTAAAAGTTTTCACCAGCATACGTCCCCACTGGGGAGTTCGAAGCCTACCCTAAGATAGGGTGCCTAGGCCATAGTCAACGACTCTGACCCTCTACGTGTTGGTTGGTTTACAAATATCTTTGTATTTTGTCGCCGATATGTTCAGGTTGCATCACGATGTTTTCCTTTACCGTAAAAACATCGGGAAAATTATGTGCGTATGAAATTCGAAAAATCATAAGAAACATTGGTACATGGTGATACTCGAATACACGACCTGTAGATAGTAGATTATATGTCAAGTACTCAAACCCTTGAGCCACCGATGCTCCATGGTTTTTAAAAATCGCTATCTCGTTAATGGAATTAGTACCTTTGTTCATAGAAATGCAAATAACAGTAGCAATGTAGTCAATAATGTGTATGGTATAGGTGGTCCTGATGTCCCTGCTCATGGCTCGGCACCGCCCGGAGGGGTGAGCAGCGGGGCTTCGAGCCCCGCAACCCCATCCACCCCCACTCACGACGACAACAACCGTAAGTGTATTAAACTGTGCAGTTTATTCTTGTCTAATTCCAACTTTGTATGATTTTTGCATAAATAAGAATTAACAAACGCATCTGCAAATGGGAATGGCCAAGGGCATCGATCCCTTCGCTATTTAGACGTATTCTAGTGGTTTCCCTTCACCTTATATTGTAAAAAATCTTGAAAACAAGAGCGTCGACAATGTCGACGGTAAACGTAATTGAGGGTTTCGTAAGGGATAGTAGCTTGCTAATGGAGTAAAAGATTTCTCCTGGTTTTGTGTTTTTATTATTCAATTTTCTAACAAGTTTGATTTTAAATAAACTTATGTTATCTTATAAGAGTATGTTCTAAATGAGTGCATATATTTTTGTGCAGCGTTTAAATGGTCTGTAACGTCAGGTGACTTGTTGAGCGCCTTGCTATGGGCCAGCGCGAGCTCGCTGGCGGGCAGCGCGGAGAGCCTGGCCGAGCCCGGCTCCCACGCCCCGCACGCGCACCCCGCACACCCCGCGCTGCAGCCGGAGCGACGTGAAGCGGTCAGTGAGCGATTTTATACTCTACTACACTAACACTACACCCCTCTTTACTAATACTATGGAACATATTGAAATTTCATAATTTTCAAAATTAGACGAGGCGCCAGTTGCTCTCAGCCATTTCACCCGGTTTATCTGGAAATGCCTCTTCAAAGAAAACAGTGGCACTTTAGTGACAAAAAAAATATTTTGAATAACAATTTCTTTATTGCTCACTACAATTTTATTAGTCAGAGTTGCCTTCTTAACTAGACCCGTCTGTAAGAAATCAATAACTTCCCTTGTTAAATTCAAGATTAGTGCGAAACAATACACTTAACAGATATTTAGTAGATTTAACCAATCAAAATAAAAAATAGTCTCTTTTCTACTTACCAAAGCAAAAGTTCAGAATGCTTTTGGATAATTTCATTGATTATTGTATGTATTAAACAAAAACAACTTTTAAACTTATTAGATAGATATATGGACAGTATATATTATTACATCTATGCATGTTCTTATAATTTACAATTCTATTGTAGTTTTTATCAGCTACATTGTAAATACAATGAATAATGATCATTGTGTTGTACAGTGAGCCACAAAGGCCTAAAGTCAAGTCGTATTTAACCTCTTATCATCATACTGATATCATGGCTTAAAATAACCATCCGCACACGGCCCACTTACTATATGCAAACAGCATGATATTCTAGGTTAATTATATGTAACCGTAAAATAATAAATATTGACAATTTATAAAAAAAAAATCAAATATCACTAGTAATTCAGGTTAAAACATACCGTTGTTAAAACTAATTACTGATTGAATTCATATTAGCTTGGTAATATGTTATTACTTTTAGTAATTCCTTAGAAAAAAGTTTTTGATCGTCCTGTATAACAGCATTCTTAAACATACCGATTTTATTTTACAGGTAATAAGCAAGATACTGGAACGTAAAGATCGGCAACCAGTGAAGATTGAGTTCAAAATTTTCCTGACGGAAAACACTGTCACTCGCTGGGAAGCTGTGAGTTTTTTAAATTTTCTACTAATAGCCCAAACTATGAGTCATTTTTCTTATTTTACTTTATAGAAAGGCACGATTTCTAAAAATAATTTATATGGTATGATTTTTTATTCTGTAAAACTTAGCAATATAGTGATAGAATCGATAAATAAATCCGAATATGTCACATATTGCAGTGCAGTAAAAATTACCTCACATTTTGCATAACTATCATAATTATTTCATAAATGCAAACATCAAACATCCTGTGTAAGTTTTCATACATCACGCTATCAGTCAATTGGTAATCTATAATGAGGTCATTCACTTATCGAGTGACGTCACTATTGCATACGACTTCTAATCTATTCAAGTTATAAAAAATACAGCATTTAATTGCTGGTAAAACATGATTTGCTGCATGAAAAAAAATGCAATAAAAGGGAACGATTTAGAGAATTAAAAAGTAAATTTGCCTATAACCATCTACATAAGATTCCTCATTAATACATCATTTTCTCACATCGCAAATTTTAATAGTTTTTACATAATTGAGGCACAAACAATTTTTTTATTTTTCCAGGTGGTGCAAGGCAACACCATCTACTTACGTATGCCGGCGGTGCTGCAGTCTGGTAGTAAGGAGAGCTTCATGCTGCTCCTGGACTTCGCAGAGGAAAGACTCGGCTGCAATAAGTTAGTATTACTATATGTAACTACTATATGTTTCTTAGAGTTTGAAGCCCAACGGCTGAACGTATCTCTATAAAATTTGGCATGGATGTAGAGGATAGTTCTTACGGTGAACGTAAACATCGTCATGCCTGCACATATCGGTGAAGAAATTCAAAGATATGTGTGAAGTCCATCCGCAGTAGACCAGCATGGTTGACTATAGCCTAGTCACCCCTAAACTTCTTACAGGCTCCGAGCCTTTCAGTGGGGGACACATAGTGAGGTGGTGATGATGTACATAATAATTTTCGTTATATGTATTAAAACACTTAAATATAGAAACATCAAAGTACAATACAACACTAATACAAATTATTTCAGTTGCATCATCTGCGTGCTGAAGTCTCGTCCGGACAGAGCCACAGTTCTCCGCACTTTCATGTTCATGGGCTTCCAGCTGCTCGCCCCCACCTCGCCGCTGATGCCGCAGGAGATCAACAACCCCGACTACGTCTTCCTGCACTACAACATGCAATAAACTCCCCTCCCACGCTGCACCTGCTCCCCACAAGTAAATACCACTGATCTGTTTAAATGGATAGCCGATTATTTGTAAGTCCACCACTATTGTTAGTTTGGCAACTTCTCACTGCGAGTATCAGCGCCAAAATCAAACAAACAAAATATCAGTTTATAACCTATCCATTTATAGAGGTTATGGTAAATTCACTTCATCATAGAGTAGTTAGCGGCAGTTTAATCTTTGACAAGTGACAGCAAGTATTAACCATAGAGTAGTTATGTTGAATTTAATTGTGATTGACAAACTTTTTGATCAAATATTTGATGTTACAACTTTAAATTGAAGGGGATAAAGGCAAATATGCTTCAGTCCAATTTTTTAAACTAGTCATACCAAATTGTTGCTTGTTTAAGCTATAATTTGGTATGGCTCGTTTAAAAAATAAAATTTAAGACAAGCGTTTTTTCTTTTATACGTCCTACATACCTAATAACTTTAAATGAAGTGATATTAGTATTATTCAAATCAAATGTTTGACAAACGAGTTGGATCTGTCTGTATTTCCTAATGGTATTACAATTTATTCAGTATTCGAGTGTTACAAGTTAGAAGCTGTCACGGCCGTGGGGGAATTTTAATGGGCACTTTTAATTATAAAGTATTGCTTCGCGCTTGCTTAGTGGTTTCGGTAAAGTTTCAACAAGTCTCCTAGCGTTTAGATTTTTAGTATGTATACCTATTATGTAGATTTATCGCTTTATTGATTTCCTTTAAAGGCGTTGAGATAGATGTTTATCACGGTTAGATCACCATTATCGTAGTTTGCTTTTTATAGAATAACAACTCTTTGTCTTAGAGGAATCAAAAAGCTTTTTAGTTTTAGTTTATTTTCTACAATTTCAGCTTTGAATCGCTTTTGACCTATACGTTAAAATCAAAACTGTTTTGTAGAAACTTAATTTTAATCTTTATTATATATAACGCAATATATGTCGTCGTGTATTATCACCCACTCCGGGGTAGAGCCAAAATATGAAACACAAAAAAAAATTAAAAATAAAAAAATCCAAAAAAAGAACAGTTTGTTATATTTCGATCTCCACTTTTATTCTCTGCTTGTGTACGTACACACATTACTTATGAAAATATGAAATAAATACAAATGTCTTAAACCTATAATCTAAAACAAAAATAAGCAAGGACTTTTAACCTCAGTGGCCATATTATACCATTATTAATCTATGATGAAATGGTTCTAAAACTTTTGAGGTTAAGGAATATTTTATAAAATCAAATAATGTTTAAAGTGTGTGCGTACTAACCCTCTTTTTCCCACATTACAAAATTCCGTTTAAAATACACATTTTTTAATGCTTATACATTAACGAATTGTATCTTTTATATTTCATCGTTAGTGCATAAGCGCCTAAATTGACTTCTAATTAAAAAAAAATAGCATCTAAGAGGTTTCATGTTTTCCTTAATTTAGTATTCTACAAGCCATTCTAATTAATGCCATCGTACAAAAAAATTAATATAGACAGGTCGATCACAAGCAAAATAAAATCGGCCATTTTGAACATCTAACATCACAAGTGTTGCCACAGTTAAAAAGTGCAAAAATGGCATAAATTCGAATGTATTTTCAATTATTAGTGTGAGCAATTCCGCTCTTTTAGCATTTAGGAGTTACAGCGCTCTAATTTTCTTTGATTCAGTATTCTTTTACAGAGTATTATAACCTTTTTGACTTCTACAGGGCGCTGTTTCTAGTATAAGTTTACTTTAATTGAAAACCAATTAAAATACATCTTAACCATTGCGGGTTTTATTTTTAACTATTCCAAAATAACACAAAAATAATTAAAACGCACCTCAGAAAAATAGTTAAAAAATAATGTGTTGTAAAAATATAAACTTACAGATCCATTTTTATATTATTATTTTTAATCATTTTAAAAGCAGAAATATTTTGAATTGACATTTAAAAAGTAATATTTAATTAGTTTAAATAAAACAATATTTTGTTACAGTATTCGTATATTCCTTTAACAAGTATAAAAATCGGTTACACAAATTGTAACTTTTTTTTTTCAAACATAATTGCTAGCGATTACTACATTTAAAATAATTATACATGTAACTTCAAAAATAAATTTACTTTTTTTTACATGACACTGTCTTATCCTTCAACAAACGTAAAATAAAATGGTTTGTAATGAAAGATAGTTTGAAAAACAATTCAAAATATACAAAAAGCTTATTTATGACTATTATTCTACTATTCGAGACTAAGTTACTACAACTACAACAAAGTTTGGTGTAAATTAATCTTTAATAATATAAAATAAGGTAACGGTAGCAAATTCGCAGCATTAAGGTCCTAAGCATTTAAAGCCATATACATAATTTGAGAGCTAAAGAAGTAACATTCTATTATAACATTACTTATCAAATAACATTTAAAACTAAGATGGAAGCTCCTACAAGATGTGCCTAGAGCCTAGTGTAAGCATTTGCTGACTAATACAAAAGAGACACTGTGTCAAACTAGAATCTTCTTTAAAAAAGAGATTTTGCATTTAATGTCTAAGTAAAAATATGTTTTGCTTTAGTGATGGTTAACTTGAGTCAAATCGAGTTGGGCGTAACACGAATCCACTCGAGTTGAATTCTCTCTAACTCGAGTTCGAAGTTCAACAGAAAATACGATCCACTTCAGTTTTGGAAGTTGTGCGAAATTGCCCAAAAATACCTACGTGTACCAGCATCGCCAGTCCTTTCAGAACATTCTTGATTTTCAAAAGCTGGGATTTTGTACAATGATACAAGAAACCATCTAGCACCGAAAAAGATTGACCAAATCTTATTTCACAACAATCCATGGTTATCTATTTTTTCAAACAAAAACCTTTTATATCTTTAGTTAGCAGGCATAACTCACAACATACAACATAAAAAAAATAAAGAATTGAAACTGATAAAAATATGATCTGTCTGTTCTAATTTTTTTGAGTTTTTCTTTTGCCACAATTTTTATACTACTCTTTAGAATAAGTTCATGTGATATTTTCTTTTGTTTCTTTTTTTTGTGGCAATAAATATATGTTCTATTCTTATTTATGATGTTTCCTTGACCTTGCCAATATCACATCCATCAGAGGTTCTAAATGAAAGGATAAATAAATCAAATGAGTTTTCTTGTGTCCCAACCCAAAGATCACAATACCACGTCATATGTGAGTTATATCTCAAAACAATTTAATAATAAAATGTATAAAATAGTGTATAAGGTAATAAAAGAACATGAAAACAAAATGTTAATATTTGATGAAGATGAAGATGAAGCTGAGAACACAAAAAAAATGTATTCTTACTATTTCCTAATCATAACCCCGATCTTAGGATTGAGTCCAAGCTCCTTAGCCGGAATGTATAGCTGGTGATCATTCTTACTTTTAAGTCTTAATTAAATAAAATGTATCAGCAAAATGCAAATTGTTCCCATATGAACAAGCTCTAAAATTTATAAATAGCATTATTGGTTTTTTACCACATAAAGTACACCTATTACAGGATAGGCCTGATGACACTATTTCAGAATGTACAAAGATTATAATTTTCTATACACACGGAAGAAATAGCTTATATCACCTTCGAGTTGCCTCTCTCCGGGTATTTCTTCTTCATCAACCAAGTGGAATTGTTGCCTGTCTATATCTGGGAAGAATGCATCGCAGTCAAATGATCGTTGGATTTCGGTTAGGTAAATTTTTCCACAGTTTTCGTGTTCCATTGCAGCCTGAAATTAAAACAATTTGGAACATAAATTTTTTACATGTACGATCACGTTGTCACGGTCCTCTTAGAGTGCATATGGAAGACAGTTTCTCAGTAAGAATGTAATCTGGAGACCAGTGCCCCTGTTTTTTTACCTTATAAATAGAAGATCCACCAATAACCCACGTTGATTCTACATCTTCTCTACCTTCAATATATTTGACAGCTTCATCTAAACTGGGGACCACAACCACTCCTTCTGGAACCTGAGTACAAATTTAAAGTGATTTATTGTATTTCTTGATAAGACCATTGTGAAAACCTTTATCCAACAATGGGCAGATAAAGATAATGATTACATTGAAAATAAAAATTTACATGATTTTATTTGATTTGTTACTAAGCCGTAAACTACATTTAAATATTTAGAAAAATAGTCATGTTGAAATATTATTATCATAAATTGAACTTTGACTTTATAACACAAATATGACTTGTATGTTTAAAAAAAATCTTACATAAGCATCATTTTTAATAAATCTACATGGAAATAACCCAATAAAAATCAGCCCTTTAATTAAACATTTGGTAGCAGTATTGATATCTGGAATGCATTTCCAGAACATAATTAGTGGGGAACTTTGACTATCTACAACTAACTGTCTGTCTATGAAACCATTATACCATATTATAAAGGGGAAAGATTTGTACTTTTGTATGTATTGAAATGACTCAAAAATGACAAATTCAAAAATGCTAAAACCATTAAAAAGCTATGTTAAAAGTGAGTGACTTTTTTTTTCAATTCCACATGGACAAAGCCTATAGTTAATAATTCTAGAGAACACAACCTTTACCTTTGTCTTCACCTCTTCAACATTATGTGTCATAACTATATTGACTCTATTATTCAAAGGTCTATATTTGTCTGGGATACAATCCCATGTTCTCCGTCCCATTATAACAGCATTAAGTTTACTCTCATCTTTTACTTTTGTTGTCATTGTTGTGAAGTAAGCCATCTCCTTTCTGAAATGTAAAAATTATGAAATATTAAACAGAGTACACGAAAAGAGTCTAAAGTGAAAAAGAAGTCACCACCAAATGGAAACTTCAATCATCTCTTCAATTCAATTGATTCACTAATGATTTTGATTCGAAATTTACTTTAATTGTTTTCAGTTCTGTCTTTAAGAATTAATTTAAAGGTGAAAATTACAAGCTTACTTGAGTCTCCATGGCAAGGTACCATTAGCTCCAATACCCATATTTTCGCAAGCTGCTGCTATCAGGTTTAATTTTACCTTTGACATTCTGCAGTTATTATTAACTTAATATTTCTGAACTTCAATTGGCAGCGATTGTATTCTTCTATAGCTGTAATGATTGTTTGTTTCCTTTTATTATTAAAATAATTAAAGTTTAAACGTGCATGTGACACAAAATCAAAACTTTGACAATGACAGCCGAATGACAACTTTTAAAAAGTTGACAGTTAGTATAGATTACAAAAGCAACGCATGTTGGCATAGAAAATATAACTGCTACCAGTTTTTATTTTACACATAACATTACATAACTAGCTTTCGCTCGCGACTCCGTCCTCTCGGAACTAAAAAAAAACAAATGCAAGTTGCCTATGTGTTCTTAGACTATCCTCTACACCTATGCCAAATGTCTGAAAGATTTGCTTAAAGTTTTGAAATACTTTTCTACATTATTAGCAGTTTATTTTTCACACTGGCAAAGTGTAAACCAGGTTTAAATTTCGAACATTTTTTATTACAAGTTGGTAAAGGAACTGGGACACCTGATCGCATGCCTTGCCTACCTTAGACCAAAGAGGGACATTGAAAATAAGGACATCTATTTTTTCCCCTTCCTGTCCTTTCTTTTACAGAACCCCTAAGTCAATTAAGACTCCAGAATATAAAGTTACAGTACCTAGTTTTCATTCCGACGACAAAGGATAAACACGTATAAAACCTTGAGTTGATTATTTCTAAAGTCTCCACCATGTTATTTTAGTCGATTACCTTGTAAAACTTATGAGTTAGTTATCTTTTAATCCATTAGACTCAAGCGGTGGTTATCATTACCGTGGGGAGTTGTAACACGAAACTAATTTTACTAAAATGTGCAAAATTGAGTCTCCATTTATCCATAAGCGTAAACTGTGTATAAAACTCATCGACCTACGAGGCTAATTAACTTATTAATTTTTTTAATATAACTTAATATTAAATGAGTTATTAATAAAAGTTGCCGTTTAATTTTTTTTGTTCCCTTTTCTGCAGTTGCAGATATTATTAATGGCGACTGTTAACACATAGATACTAAAATAAATGTTTGTCCGGTTTGACGACAAAAAAAATCTTAGACGTGCATCGGACGCCACTAACTACAGAGTACGATAGTAAATTCCATCAAATGGTATACAAATTCTGAAAGAGTTAGTCTATAAATCGTATATATGTTTGAGTCAATAAAGTAGTAAAAAGAAGTCTATAAAGTAAATGTAAACAAACTAACACATACCATCTCTAATAAGCAATTAGTATTCATGAATGTCCAACATAAATTAGAGGGGTTATTGTTGAAGTATTGATTTTATTACTCTCGCATTTTATATCGACGGAGAGAAAAGGGAATAATAAAAGATTTTATTAAGCCGTCCGCCACTGCCGTGCAATAAAATTCCCTAACACAATGCCTATCGTAAATTGTTTTAATGACCAGAAGGAAACCTACACCGTCCATCTTTAATGCGTCATTAACCGATAAAGAAAGCGCACGGCCATATGGTGCATGATACGCAACTATAAAACAACCAATAACTAAGTGTATACCCCAGTTTTATCATAATAAACGGTGTTAATTTCGCCCGGCATAAATACATGTAAATTGATAAAAAAATTGCTAACTAATTAGGTATCACGTATTATCATGTTTTCATTGCATCTAAGTACTTCCCGCCATAATTAGCGAGCAAATGTTTTTAATACTTAACTGTCAAATGTGCGTTCCATTTTCCGGAATAATGAGAAAGTAATTCGATATTTTTTGTGTGATGTTTTTCGGTTTTGTTAGCGGCCAGGATAAGAAGGGGGAAAGGGATCGAATAACAGCAACGCTTCTTATCAAAGCGAGACAAATAATGTTGTGTACATCTCGTATAGATTTGCCAAAAGCTGTACGATATGATGTGGTCTCTTCAGCTTCAGTTTTCAGAGAGCGGACCTGAGCGATGGACGTGTCTCTCGACCGTGTCGGAAAATTTTCGATAATTTTCATTTGTGATTTCTTTTAAGTTCCTTTGCTAGTCAAAACTGTTGTGATGTTTATTTTTTAGTCATGTTTTTTAATTTAGTTGTGTATTTTAATGAAGAAAATGTAGAAACTAACTTTTGAAAGTCTATTTGTAGGAAAACTGTTTAAGTACCCACATTTAAACCTCGAACTCTACGTTTTGTTTCTATAGTTTGTGATTTTTGTTTACTTGTTATGTTTTAGTTGTGATTAGTTTTAAAAAATATAAAATCTACGTGTAGTTATTTAATAAAACGATGATCGAAGAACGATTTGATTTCTGATCTTGAAGCACTAAAACGAGGTAAGTTACTTTTTTCATTAAATTTCAAATTTTCTCGTTAACTTTCTTACAGTTTGATAGATAAATTGTTAAACATGTTGCTTCTAGAGAGAGATAAATCAGAAAATGTCAAGGTAATTATACGTATTAAAATTTGTTATTGCACGTGGTCTGATATCATTAACTCGTATTTGCCGAGGGTGCCTTGATAAAACTAACTTGCCACATGCTCAGATTTTCAACATAGAAACAAGACGTAACTTATAGTTTTATTTATTTTCCTCCTTCAATGCTTAGGGTTGTCTCAATAACATTTTCTTTAGTTATTCGTTTGGTGTTTAACATTTTTTATTTAAAATTATTTTCCCATACAATATTAAAATGAAGGATTCTTAAAATCATTCATATCTATAGAAAGAAATGGCTAGTTGTTGCGTATAAATTTATAAACCTTTAATAAAATACTCCGTTTTGTGCTTGTCTTGTATGTTTTGTTTCGCAATTTGTTTTTGTGCACTTTAAATATCAAAATTATTATTTCCTGTTGATGACAACCCTAATTACTTCTATAATCTGTAACTTTGCGGTTGAATTATAATAATTGTTTTGACGTGTTATTTGTTTTAGTTCGTGTACTTTTGAACAGAAGCATTATTGTAAAGATCGTGCTGGGCATGCGGTTAAGAATAAATATAATTTTAGTACGTGCGTAAGCATGTAAAAATAACAAATAGATTAGCCGTCTATGTTTTTAATTTTGAATATTGTTTCTTAGTAACGCACTTCTGCATTAAATAACATCTTTGGTCCTTTTCTTACAGGATTACAAAGATAACCGTTTAAATTTCAACACATTTCGATATTTTCATTTTTAGTAAAGTTACCTTTTGTAAATTACTATTCAGACGCCAGAGATTTGGCGGGATGAAATATGCTTTTTCAGTGCGTCCCCTCTGTTGATCAAAGATAGGCGATTGCATCTGAAAATGCGGATGTATTGGTAGCGGTCGCTTCGCTATTTTAGCAAATTCCGTCGCTTGCACGTTTGTCATCTTAAACTATAAAAACAAAAACCTACTTTCATCTCTTTCATTCTCTATAATATAATAGAGATATCAATATGTTTGTGCTATATTACTTATTCACAATAATAATACAACATGAAAACTCACCTATTAACTCAATTATTGGTGTCTTAGATGTGCCACGCCCTTGTTAATTTTAATGAAGTGAGCTGAAGCTCGTAATGGACGTTCATTATGCACATTAGCAATGCAAACGGGTGTGGTCACGCCGCACAGGGCCTTTGACTGTGTAATAGAGATATCCAGACAGAAGTTACCAGAGTAAACCCAACAAAGGTTACCCATCAATTAAGGGTAGGCAACGCATCTGCAATTGCGGATGTTTGGGGGCAGCGATCGCTTTCGATTTTGGATGGATTCAGGTAGCCTTGCTCGTTTGCCATCTTAAATTATAAAAAATGGATAAACAATGCATTTTTGTAACTTTACTGTGGTGTCGTATTTGATTTTTACAAACATAATGTGTTTAAGATACGGGTTTCTTAGCAATTGGGTTGTGAGCTCCCGATATTTCGGCACGTATGCACCATGTTCACTCTATAAAGTGATGCGGTATCGTGAATAAAAAAATGTTACACGAAGCCATAACGCATATATAATGCATATTTATTAGTTATGAAGCTTTTACTCGTTCATGCTAACTAATATCGTAACTTATGAGCTTTGAGGTTAGATTGTTTAACTTCTGAGATAATACAAGTTAAACAACAAACGGAAAGTTAGATGAAAACCTTTGTTTAAAGACGAAGCTATTTAACTTAGTAAATATCAAACTAATTCTAATACAGTGAGATCCATGGTACATCGAATTTATTCCGCTTTTATCAGACGAAAAATTTATAGTTGAAATCTGACGGTAATGGATCTGAAGACGTTAAACATCTCAGCCTAACCACGATCGCTGTAAAGTGTTACAAATGTTAATATAATTTATATTGTTAAAATAAAATAGCTATAAAATTGGTCAATTCGTTTTAAACTAACATCTGTTGAATATAAGGAGTGGTTTGTAAACTCGTTGTGTCCGGGTTTAGAAATACAATGGGGGGATAATTGACGTTGGGGAATAGAAATATAAAAATTAACTATCACTGTACGTTTTTATTTCTTTTCATTCTGTACTAGCCTTTCTTGCTATTGACAAAATTAATAATTCATTTTACACCTTAATCATAGAGAGGAACATTAGTCAATCTTTCTATACATATAATATTTTTTTATAATTAGAGTATAAGTTTGAAATATCACAGGAAAAATTTCAGTTTTCGGGATGATGATGTATTTGCGTTGCTGATTACGAAAATTTAATTTTTTTTTGTCTGTTTGTTTCGGGTAATATCTGAAACGGCTGGGCAGATTTCGACCGGACTTTCACTGAAGGATAGGTGACATTGACGGGCATATTATAGGCTTTAATTCCGCGCTGTCAAAATGACGACCAGACTGCTATCTCTAGAACAGATGGACCGATTTGGACGGGACTTTGACTGGAAGGTAGACGGTAGAAGGTAGATGCAAGCGGGAATATGATAGATGACTTTTTTTAATGTTAACACTATTGAAGTTTGCGGGCGACAGCTTGTCTCCAATAGAATTTAACATCTTGTACAAATATGGTTGCAGTGGGAACCTCACAGTACTACCAGGTATAAATAATTAGACTTTAAAAATATCTTTTGTAAATTGTTCAATGTTCGAATTAAATAAAAGAAAAAAGCTACAAGTATTCTTTATTCATTAGTCTGTGAAAAGCAATAACAACCGTCTCTTTGAACGATTGAATAGAACGCTTTGGAATTAGAAACGACTCTCGATTCCTTATTGACCTCGGCTCTAATTAATATTCAGAGCAACCATCTCATTTTGTCTCCCGCTGAATTTATATTAAAAAACTATGCCCGAATATTGAGTAATCTTGTCAATTTATTCATGTAAATAATGATGGGTTATTCTGTGACAGAGAAAGAAAGTCAATTATAGGTTAATATTCAAATTAACTTAATATTAATGAGAAAGTTTAGATGGATTAGTCTTTGTTATATTTGGTATAGATGTAGAGCATAGTCTGGAAGAACACATAGGCTTCTTTTTTTTTTAATTTCAAGCGGTGTCGCGGGCGAAAGCTACTTAGTAATCATTAAATTGTATCTACCAAAGATGTACTTATTTAACTATTTATGGCATATTTTAATCCAATTTTATATCATCGAACGATTTCCAGTTAAATTAAACCAAAGTAAATTAACTATTGCCCGTGATTTTCACCGAAGCAGATTCAATTACAAAATTAAGCACTTTTACATATTAATTACTTTCACGGCACTTTGTTATATGATATAAACATAGTCACGGTGCATTTATCTGTTTATCAGTACTTGACAACGAGTGTTATAACTCTACGGTATTACAGTGAGTTTTCATTGACGAAACATGGATATAAAACGTTGCTATCTCTCTTTTTTCAAAGACAATGAAAGAGATAGTTTCTGTAGTGTTACATAGTGAAAACCTATCGATACTTAATCACCTGGAACTAAGCAGCACTTATACTATCTTGTTACTATCTTATTATATAGAATTGAGCATTGTTATGAGGAAATAAACTCTTTCGAGTAACCCACAGGTAACACAACTATAACTTTTCAATGTTCATTTTTGAATATCATTTTACTTTCATTTCTTATAATTTACGTAAAGTCCCAATTTTTCTATTTTCCTATGGATAATCCCTTAATTTCTTAAAAAAGTGTAGCTTCGTAACGTCTCGGCAATCCATCATTGATAGCGATAGTCTTAAAAGAAAACCTCATCGTCATTTGCTAAAGTACTAGTTACTAGTTTAAAGTAGTATGTTTTGACACTTAACACAGTTATATTAAAGCTAAATATAATGTAACATTCGTGTATTAATTTGCTGACAGTGTATGTTACAGGCGTTAACACGATTGAGTAACGTTAAACTGTTATCTGACGGAGTAATTAATAACATAAACATTACTTTGCAGAATTTACTCAAAAAGACAGCGTGTTAAAGTCGAAGGCGTTCTATAATTATTTCCACACTAGCTGTTGCTCGCGACTCCGTCCACGTGACATTAAAAAAAAGAAAAAAAGAACAACCTTAGTCACTGATATCGTAGCTTTTTATTGGAAGATAATTTTTTAAAACGATCCAGCGGTTTTTGAGTTATTTCAATACATACAAAAATATAAATCTTTATAATATTAGTATAAACTTTTGTATGGTATTTAAGTATGCTTAGGCGTTAATTATGGCACCTGCAGATAAACCGAACTCGTTTAGTCTATTGCTTTCGTGTTATGCTATGCAGTTAGCGGACAGTTACCGCAACCACAATCATGAACAGTACAATGGACGCTACGCTTGCTACGAGCAACTGTGGTGGTTGGACAACACTGTACAGAACGACGTACAGTCGTAGAAAACCGCGGTGTTCTTACAGTATTAGTATTAGCAATGCAAATTATTAGCAATGATTGAAGAAAACGACGGGTTATAAAAAAATAGCCGTAAATCATGTCCGACCGTCGTATAGACACATTTTAAAGTTGTGTCCTATTGAATATTGTTTAAAGTGATCGACATCTCAATGCTTTCAAGCGACTTGCTTTTAAATTGGAATACCGCCAGTTTCCCCGATTGTACTATACTGCAAATAATCAGACTGCATTAAACATCGATGGTGGTTAGGAATTGAAATTGTAGTTACAAAAATTCGACGTATGAAAATTGAAGATTTCTTTATGAATATAGGAAAAGAAATAAGAACATCCTGCACACTTGGTATTCTTTTAAAAGAAAAGTGAAATTTTGCTTTCTGTGACGAATATTTTATGCACACAGAGATTCAGACCGTAAAACGAAATTAGGTTTTTCTCAAAACTATTTCCGTTGCAAAACTTTTGTTCGCGAAA